TCAGCTCTTAACTAATGCGCCACTCGGCCAGCCCAGGTAAAGTTTGTTTTGTTGAATTTAATCTCAACTGTATATTTATAGAATCTTTATGTTACTGAAACAATTTTGGATAATGCTGGAAAACTTGAATTCAGAGAATTTCAATAAATAAATATTTGTTTGCCTGAGGAGATGAGGAGGTTTTTGTTTTTGTTTTTTTGTTTTTTCAGCTGAGCCATCCTGCCACCTGTTGGCAGCTCAGCAGCTGCTCAGCTTGGGCGAGACTTGAACCACTGTTACTCACAACTCACACTCTTGAGTGAGCTCTTAACCAACTGAGCCACTTGGCCGGCCCAGGTGAGGTTTTAAAAAGCTACTCTATGATGATAAAGTAGTCAACAATGGAAATACAACTTTATTTAGTGGAAAGAGCACTGAACTGGACATTGTTAGGATTGAAAACTAACTCTTACTCATTAGCTTTTTGACTTTGGACAGATGGTAGTTTTAGGAATCAAAGAGAACTTATGTTTATACACTGTTGCATTTGCAGTGCCTGGCATATTGTGGATACTTGATAAATACTTAAAATTAACCTCTAATTCTTCCTTTACAATACTAAAATAGTAATATTTAATCTTTCTCATTCTCAAAACATTTTAAGGATCAAATATATTGTTAACTGTGTTCATCACTCTAGAAATTAAAAATACAAGATCATGGGGAATTCAGTTTGTTTGGCTACAAAAAGAGATCATAATATATATGGGTAATTTTTAATATTAAAGAGGTACGTGTAATGCACTGTCGAGAGCCGGCTCAAAAACCGGGGAACCTAGGTGATCAGGCCAGGAGCTCACAGAACGGTCCCTGAGCTGGGATGGTTGGAGCGAGGAATTGAGAAATGAAAGAGATGGCACAGACATGAAAGTTGGGGTTAGGAGGTTCACTAACTGCTGGCGACAGAGAGTGACAAACTTTATTGGGTACACAATTGATTATATAGGGAAACAATTTCCTCTTTTGCAGGGAACAATTCCCTTTGCTAAGCATATGGGATTTTAGCAGAGGGTTTTGGGGAAAGAGGAACCAATGTTCCTTATGTAAAGTTTAAAGTCAGGAGAAACAA